ACAAGGATTTGGCCCACTTCTTCCGCTGGGTGGCTAAGCCCCCACTATATTGCCCCCGTTAGTGAAACTGATGTGGTGCTTTTTGTAGGGGGCTGCCATGTTCCTTATCTTCATCGGTGAGGTTGTCAATTTCACGCTTTTTTCCATGGGGATCACCTCCCCTGCTGGTGTTGGGGGTTGACCCAATGTTTTGCTTTGTTATGGGCCCCATCACAAATTGAGCTAGGCACCCTCTCTATATCAACATCTTGATCAACGTTTTAGGGAGTGATAGTCTTTAATGTGATGACTCACATAGTCACATGGCGATGATATCGACATTATGGCTTGTTAGCGTTGATGGAGAGTACCTCATGTGATGCCTGAGAGTCCCGTTCAATCAACACATGCTCCTCCGTGTAATTTACAATGACACTAATAAAGCAGTTAAAGGTGTGTGTGGTTGTTTAAGGAGTATCGGTAGTACCCAGGCCTTTTTGTTGTGCTTGCAGCTCCCGTCAGGCTTGTTTTGGACGCACCAGGATTTGTCACTGGATGGGGCCTTCGGCTCGACGAGGCTGATCCGCCCGTGACTTGCTGTTGCTCTCCTTTCTATTTTCGAGGGTCGTCATCTTGTTGGTGACGATGGAGGTCACCGACCTCGACATGTCTGTAGCCTGTAACGCTTTGATGTAGTCCCAAAGGGGGTCGGTGATTAGGCTGCTTGAGAAATTGTTGTGGCAGAGGACATTCTGGAGCAACGCTAGAAGGGTTCTGTCGTTGGCGCCCTCGACTTTCACCAGCTCCTGCCTCCATCGTGCCAAGAAATCCTGGAGGCTCTCGTTCTCCCCCTAAGACGGGCCTTCAAGTGTTGAGAGGAAACAACATAAGTATTCATCCGACGCCCCGATCATTAACATGTTGTTCTGATACATACTGTAGTGCTCCTCGGGATCAGTCTTGCCCTCATACGGTTTGATAGGCTGACGTCGGTGCTTGTCGGGGATTGGTGTTGCCAACACCTTTGGGGTGAACGGCGTCCTAGTGCGGAGCTAGACCACTGGCTCCTCATCAACCTTAACTAACTTTTTCCGTGGGTCATCAACCTTCTGGAGAAGGACTACAACCATGGGATCCTGTTGAGGGCCTGATGTCCCCTATTGTTGTCAGGCCTCCATCTCATCCAAGCAACATTGGAGGGCATTAATTAGGTCATCCATGTGGTCTCGGGGGCAGCCCCCTGCTGATGGGACCCTAGCCTCTCCAAATGCGCCTGATTGATTTTGTGGCAGGCATCTTCGGAGGGTAGGGGCTTCTTTCTCTTGTCCTGATGGGCATGATGGGGTTGGTGACCGGCCGAGAGAGAAGGTGGAGGAGGATGGGTGATATTCTTCCCGTTACTGGCTCCTTCTGTCACCTCTTCCCCATACCAGGGACGGATCCAGGATTCTGAGTCAAGGGGGGCGAAATTTTTCGTTAGTGTAGGGGGTGAATTTTTTTTGTTAGTGTAGCGGGGTGAAATTTTATTCCCTAGTATAGCGGGGTGAAATTTTTTCGCTGTTGTAGGGCTATGTGGCTATTTTTATTCAAAAAATGACATTAATACATGCACATCCCGAATGACATTTAAATCTATTACATTCTCAGTTCAGATGATGACAAAGACATCAACCAATACATTTTTAATAACTTCTACATTGTTTAACCTCATGAATCTGTTATTGAATTGTAATTTTTGTCCACCAAGGAGGGTGTTCGTGAGTCATGACTCATGAGAAGTTTTCTTAATATTACAATAGTAGTATACTAGTATGTATGAGATTGTTATTTTTAGAATAATATGCACCACACACACATATGGTGCATATTATATTTTAATATTTTTATTAATTCTATAATAATTTAGAGTTTATTATCCATGCAATAAATTATTTTTAGAAAGCTAGAAATAAATGAATTATGTAATCTAATGTCTATAAATATTTGTATTTTGGATTCATTTCACGGGATCTAAAAACTGTGTAATTAGTGTGTCTGGTATTTAATATTGTTTGATATATGTTTTACGAAATCCAGTACTTGTTATCTAATAAAGATAATTAAACATTACAAAACTAGTAATTCTTATATAATAAGTATCCTAAATCTTAAATAGAGTTACTCTATTGTCTATTTGTTTAAGTTATGTGAATTATTTTAGATGTTTATTCTTTTAAATCTCCAATTAAGTATTACATTATGTAAGACTATATATATTAATTTTGAAAATTAAAAGCTAAGGGGGGCGAATCTAATTAAATTATGAAAGTTTTATGAAAATATTACATATATGGTAAAAAAAATTGAATGTCCAAGGGGGGCGGTCGCCCCCCGCGCCCCCCCCCCCCCCCCCTAAATCCATCCCTGCCTACATCGTCATCCATTATCGCCGCCCCGACCAACGTCACCATCTGCCGCCGCCCACCATCCTCTGAGCACCATCAATGTCAACTTCAGGGCCACCCTTCACCTATGAGCACGACTGCCGTCACAATTACGACAACATAAATATGTCATTAAGTTGTCAGATTTAGCGTTGGAGATTAATTTCAAATTTGCCATCAACACGGGTTTTCAAATCTGCCACATAGTTGACAAGTCTATCTTGGAATATTAACACAAAATTTCCATAAATTTGGCAAAAACATGAAGTAAATAACCAAATATTTGAAAAACTAAAATTTTAATAGGATAAACATTTTAACACATTCAGAAATTAGAAATACGAAGCTACTGACAAAGATAGAATACTCAGAAATGTGAAAGAATACAAAGATAAAAGCCATTTTACACAAAAACGTTTTTCCATAATACGATTGTAAAGATAGAATACTCAGAAATGTGAAAGAATACAAAGATAAAAGCCATTTTACACAAAAACATTTTTCCATAATACGATTGTCAATGTAAACATTCATGCCATAAACTTGGCCAAATATGAAGTCATCAACAAATTTGAAATTCAGATATTTTAATACTCAGAAATGCAAAATAAAAGCCTGAAAATCAGCAAAATCAATTCAGAAAAATGGAGGAAAGTCGGAAAACAAAAGAAAAAAGACGAGGAAGAGAAGAATAAGAAGAAACCTGGCAATAGAACGTGGTGAATTCGGCAACTGTTGCAGCAAGGGTAATAATGGAGTGAAACATTCAGGCGTTTTAATCGTATTTGGAGAAAAAAATATAGTCCTCCTTCGTATTTAAGAATTTCCTTTTCTTTTAAGTCATGAGACAATTTCTGTTTAAAAAAGATTCACCAAATTGACTTTTATTAATGAATGTCAAGCAACTTTGACCGGTAATATTTTTCAATACAAAATTATTTTGAATATCAAAATTATATGTAGTATCAAAACACCCCTTATTCAAAATATTTTTATAAGATATAATTTTTTTTATCGCCAAAGTGGCTTTAGATTAATAAAATAACATCCAGCAGGGATACAAGATAACAAAAGAACCACATGTAACCATCCGCCCTTGGCCGAGACTCTGAGTTAATCACCTTTGACAAAGCAATATAACTCGCTAGACCTAAATTGGACAACATACAGCCAATGATGATTACCGTAGACGTCTCATTCCTCAAACCTAGTGCAAGAGTCTTACAACATAAAATAACATAACAACAAAACAAAAACGTCTTAACCTGAAAATTAAAATGCAGAAAAGATAAATTAGCAAACTCCAAATCGCGTCGATCAACCCTTGACGGTGGTTCTGGGGGGGGGGGGGGGGGGGGCTACCCTCGGTACCACACCAATTGATTCTCCATTGACGATCAAAATCTGGAATACACGAAGCCCGTTCATTCCTCCTCGTACCGCTCTCATAACAAAGTTACAAAACTGCCACTAGTTGTTTTTTCCTCCGCTGCCCAGCTGTTTGAAGCCTCCATTTGCCTTCCCGCTTCGCCGAAGCAGATAACAGATCTCATCTTAAAACTAGGCCTTCGTCGCACACAACAAAACATCGCCAAGCCCACTGCAACCGAGCCCTGCGCTAGACTCAAAACTCGAACAAGAAAAAGAGCAAGATTGTTGCCCCTGCACTTTTCGAAAGCAACCAAGAAAACAGTTTGCACCACCTCCGTTCCCGTACCAACTTTGCTGCCAAAGTTGAACTGAAAAACGAATTGGGAAGGGAAAAGCTACACTAGGCAGCTAAGGAGCCTAACCCTAGAGAGAGACGTCTTGGTCATCGTAACGTACCTACTTAGAAAACACTAATGGTAATTTATAAGATATAAATTTATAAATTATAAATAAATATATTAATTAAAATCATTTTCAAAATTTTGTCATACACTAATAGCAGTATGTGCCCGTGTATGGAAAAATGCCTATTCCCCATTAAATCTCAATGGAAGAGCGGCGAGGGGAAACCCTAGCTTCCTCCTCCTCTTCCTTCCTTCTTTTCTTCTCTTCATTTGACTTTAATCATGGAAAAAGATTCGTTTAATCAGTATTTTCAGTTCTATCTATACGTTTATTTCCTAGCGTTGTCTAGAGATATTATTTTTCCCGCCTTCATCAGTCGGGTGTTTTTGTGTGCTAGTAAGAGGTTTGTATTGGCTTCTTTATCAATCATGAATCAAGATTTCTCCTGCATCGATACAGAGGCCGATCGCCCTCCTCTTGAACCACCGCCGATCCAGGAAGATGACATTGGATGGATTGCTTTCTTTCCGGTGGCTGGTCAAACCGGAACAATTTCTGCACTTGGCTCCTTACCCGTGGCTGAAAAAACTGGAAAGTTCAATAATTCCTTTTCGGTAGCTAGTCAAGCCGAACCCATTTCGAGTAGCATGAGCAGACACAAGCGGTACGAGTCTACATTGTTGCAGAGTTAGCGAACATGAATGCTTTTATATGTCGCTTTTGTTCTTTGTCTCACCCTATTGTAGTATTGAAACATTGTAATGCTTCGACTTTTAATTGTTATGTTTCTGGTTAAGATCTGATTATTTGGTGATTTGATTTAAAAAAAATTGTCATACACAGATACACTAGCTCCTTCTTTCTTTTCTTTTTTTCACGAGTCTCCTACTCCGGAATTGGGCTACAAGAGAGGTGAAAGTTGAGTATCAAATTGGATATTGATTTCAGGTATTAGCTCTTGCTCTTAGGAGTTAGTACCCCTCTAGCGTTTGTGCTGGCTAGCGAGGGTATCGCAGGAAGGTTTAAGAATGGGAAGTGAGGACGAAGTCTCGATGGAGGCTGCCGCCGCTGCCCGTAGAGAGCGGATCAGGGCACTGAGATCTGCCCAAGAACTTCTGGAGACACCCGAGGATGATAATGAAAGCCGCACCCGCGAAGACCAAGAAGAATCGTAAGCACTGCTGTTAGGTTTCGTTAAAAATTTCAATTTTCTACTATGGGCTTTAATGATATTATAATACGGGGTATGATTTTCGTCCTGAGTCTTGATATTGTTAGTTTATGAAATTTCATTCATTGCTTCGGGGTGTTGGCTGTTTCTTCTTATAGTGATAAGAATGTCCAAATGAAATTCCGAAATTATCTTCCTCAAGACAAGCATCTCCAAGGAGGTAAACTTGCTCCTCCAGTATTACCGAAGTTTGAAGACCCTATAGCAAGCCTACCCGCACCTGAAGAGAAAAAGGAGAAAACTGAGGATCCTTTCATGAATATTGCCCCCAAAAAACCGAATTGGGACCTGAGGAGAGATGTACAGAAGAAGCTTGACAAGCTTGAGAAACGCACTCTCAAGGCTCTACATCAACTAGGCGGTATGTTCTTTATCCCACTTCATGGTTGCTTGCGAAGTTGCCAGCATCCCTTGAATTTCTCACTTTTCATAATGTGTACACATAGTTTATTTTGGTACACCGGAATTGAACCTGAGATCTCAGGAGTTCAACTCACACATCCAACTGCTGCCACTTCAGCTATAATGGATTGGCTTTTTTGTTTTGTTTTTTCTTAAAATAGTACATTTGCCACTTTGCCTACTTCAAAAATTGTACGGAGTAGAAATTGTCTGCTCACAAAATAGCCAAATAGGGGTGAGGGAGAGGGGAAAATCTTTCTTTCTTACCTAGGTTTGAGAAGTTAGAATGTAAAGCCATTTTACCAATTTTTCTCCACCTTTTTCTGAAGCAATGCTATTCAATATCAAATTATCAGGATCTGCCAACTGATGATTCTGTAGTTGTTGCAATGGATGGTACTCCCTTTCTATGAGTAATTCACTCTCCTCAAATTGTGCTATCTTTTCTTCACCCACTTTTATCTGAACAGTGACTTGAGAGATTGCACTCTCTATGATCAGTTCTCTGTAACAAGTTGCCGTTTTGCCTCAGTAGGAGTTCTTTCAATCTTCTCTTCATAATGGTTATCTGGTGTGCTGTGAGACTCAAGATTGTATTCTATATCAGTCATTCATCATTTTCATTTACCCCAGTGCCACAAAGGCTCCCACCTATGGTGGGGTAAGGGGGGTCGGATGTACGCAGTACTAAAGCACAGAGACTGTCTCCGGATGACCCGTAGTGAAAATCGCGTCCAAAATTGCATGGACTGATTGCTGCTTCATAACAAAGAAGCGCAGACAGTTTAGTGAGCCATTTTGCTTTATTCCATCATATTCTCAAGCCAAAAAATAATGAATCTTTGGCTCCATTGCAAATGATGGAAATATTTCCATTGTATTCTATATCAGTATATCAGATAAAGATTCTATAAGTTTCTTCTTCATATTTCCCATCCAAACTCAGATAAGTATTTTACAGCACACTTTAGAGCATCATATGTCGATACTCTATACTTCCACAACCTTTTACCTCCTGCTAAAGCACAAAACGAGGTTGGCTGAGCCATGATATGGCATCTTACACCAGAAGGTGTTAGTTGCGGCCTTTATGGTGATATGTTCGGGTGGTTCAAATAAAACGTGTGCTTCGTGTGAAAAATGTGAACAAGTACATTTTGGGTTCACTATGGTTTAGGTTCATGTGGCGCAGTGTTTTGGTGTAGCAGAAAAGTTTGATTTATTTACCAAAGTACCACCCATCTAGTTTGTTTCATTAATTGAAAACCTTTTTTAATGGAAATTGCCTATATTGAAAGTAAGTAAAAAATCATGAGTCAATTCCCTTAGTAGGACTAAAAAGTGGCAAAATTGCACAAATAGGACTACATTTTTTAAATTCCCTTAATAGGACTATTTATGTGTGTTTGGACCAATATACCCTTGTAACTTGTGAAATGTTTTAATTAATAATAAAATCATGAAAAAATAATTAAAATCGAAAAAATACTAAAAAACGTAAAAAAATAATAGAAAATTAATAAAAATATTTTTAATTTTTTTTTTAAATTTAAAAAAATAAAAATTAAAATCGTAAAATTAAAAAAAAAAACATCACCACCCCTGCCACCCCAGCAGTACCAGCTCCCATCACCGGGAAAAAATATGCCAACATTTTAAATAATGCCATAATGATGGCATATTCAATGAAAATGTTGGCATATTGAAGAGTGATTATGCCATCTTTTTGGCATTTTCAGAAAAAAGATGGCATTTTTTACCAAAAGTGGAAGAAATTTCACCAATCGGAGGTGGTGGTGCTGGGAGGTGGCGGGAGGCGGGGGGAAAGGTATCCATTTTTTTTTTCATTTTTTAATGGGTTTTTACTATTACTCATAGAGGTATTTTGGGTAGAAAATCAATGTTTAGTCCTATTTAGGGAATTTAAAAAGTAGTAGTCCTATTTGTGCTTTTTAGGAACTCATTAGTCCTATTTAGGACAATTTCCGAAAAATCATTATAGTAGATTCAAGACAATACCAGCCTCACTCAAAAGTTCAATGATCCAACTTAGACTCTGTTACCTACAAATGAGCCGCAAAACTCGATAACCATGTAATGAATAAATGGAAGTTTAATTTGATCATGTCGACCTCCATGCTTCTAACTTGAAATAAAAACCCACAACCCCTCTAAAAAGTTCAAAACGAATAAACAAAAATATTACTAAGCACACAAATAAGTGATGTTGTAAATACGAATGGAACGAGCCATCTATGTCTAGTCATGTAGTCCCTAGCCTAATTCCACTGGCCTGTAGATAGGTCCGACCTTGCAGAATACCAATGACTTTTTTTCGATCTGAAGTGCACCAGTTCGATAAAAATATAAAATCACCCTTTTAATCAATGATGGTGGTTCGGGAGGAGGGCGAGCAATCGATAGTTCAATACTCCCATAGATGGCTTGAAAACAAATATGACACCTTGGAAAAGCATGTCTAGTATGGGAGGAATACCTTCAATTGCAGTTTAACTATACTTTAGCATCATGTAGCAAGTCGTGTCGCTAAATTGAACAAAATACACCCATTAAATGACTGTCCAATTTGACGGGAGAATAAGAACCCTAGACAAACCCGGGAATAAACTGCTGCTCATATGAGCTTCAGATCACTTCTTAGACATTTTCTGAGCAATGAAAATAGCACCCCAAGACATTGATGGGAAACATTAGATCTCATATCTGATTCATCAGGTTTATTTTCATTGTCAAGGGAAACATTTATTTGAAACAAATTCTCTCTATATATATTAGTGTATGTGCTTATGTATCCTCTATATGTATTGACATACATGTTACACTGAACGTACAAATCACTATCGTGAAAAAAATCACATGTACATATTCTTGTCGAGAGGATGTTGCCATTTCTAGTGCCCATGCCTCTAAGAACGAGACTGGTTGAAAGGGAAAGTGGACTAACGACACAGGTAGCAAATCAACAGAGGCAAATACAGACGTAGACATATATTTTAGTTAGAGGTGATTACTGGTGCTACTCGGGACAGAGGAAAGTATGAATGAACAATAGTTATTTTGTTTTAAATTTCTGGTAACGTTGCCATTTAAGAGATTGTGCTCTAGTGTTTGTTAACTGAGGGTATAAATTATAAAAGCAACACAAATGGTGTGGCGCTATCCCCTAAGTCACCTGCAGTAGTTGTTTTGCCCACAACAGCTCTTGCAAGTTGCAACACCTAAATGCTGTGCTATCAAGGAGTTTTGCAGTGGCTGGAGCTGCTCTGCTTAAGTATGCGGCAATAGTGTGAGCTATTCACAATCCTAGTTACACTGTCGCACACAAACAAATAATACACCTATGATTTTTTTCACTTCAAAATTTGATACTCCCTCCGTCAGATTTTAGTTAGCCAAATTTGACTTTTCAAGTCAATGGCATCTAACTTTGAACGATTATATGTTTATATGGAGAAAGTATTGATAATATGAAAATGATATGAAAATGTTCTTTGTTAAAAATACTATCATAAAAGTAAAAAATTATTAAATTGTGCATAAATATATTAGTTATAATAATTTGTCAAAGTTTACCATCTTTGACTGGAAAAGTCAAAGATGGCTAAGTAAATTGGGACGGAGGTAGTATTTAAGTAGCAAGTATACTCATGTTGACATTTATATTTACATTGTTAATTATATTTATATTTATATTATAATATTGAAATTTAAATTGATTTTTGATAGTGGTTATTTTAAGAATCTAAATTCCAGAATCAGAATTGGTTTACAAGAAGCTAGTACTTTCACTTCTCAAAAACTTATTCTAAGGAACACTTAGAAGCAGTTCTATGCTCTTCTTGGAGGAATTAGTTTGGAGAATTCACTCCAAGCACCCCTCAATCCAACACTCGTTCTCAGGGAGTATGCTCCAAGGTGGTTACAAAATTCCAATGTTATTACTAAACAATCAGACTTTTACGATAGAGAAGTAAACTTAAATGCAACACATTGGATATTCAAGTGTAACTTGTCTTATTAAGTTTTTAATTTAATTGAAAAAACACCAAAAGTACTGTTTGTACATGTTTATGCATTGCAATAACTATAGTAATGTCCATCCCCACTGAAACATCAGAAGGGGAATCAATACTTTCTAATTTATAAGAATAGTAATTATTAGGGGTGGGCAATTCGGTTTACGGTTCGGTTTTCTTCGGTTTCGGTTCGATTTATTTGGGTTGGGAGATTTGTACCAAACTAAAACCATTTGTGTTTCGGTTTGATTTCGGTTCGGTTTCGGTTCGGTTTGAAGTTCGGTTTACCAAAGTAAAAAATATTATGTTTAATTTAGTTTGATTTGATTCGTTTGCTTATGTTTATTATTTTATTTGATCAAGTTCTATATTTCAGAATTAGAAAATGAAAGTAGTAGTTCATCTCATCTTTTTTTAATTTATTGATTATTTAAATAAAATGTAAAAGGAAATAAAAGATATAAAAATAAATAATAAAATATTATAAATTGAAACTTCCAACATCTTTTTCATCACTACAAAAAATTCACTTCTTACAAATAAAAAGATAGTTGATTAGCATTTATAATATTGCATAAAATATTCAAAAAACCTAAAAGAGTCGGTGGTACAAATGTTGTAATATTCACAATTTTATTCAAATGAATCATGTAAAAATATAAATGCAATTTGCTATTGTTATCGCCAAACATAATAAATACAAATATGTCGTATTAGCTAACTTTGTCATAATGAATGTATGAAATGTGTAAAAGTTAAAATGATACGAGTATATGCTTAAATATGTATTTTCATGTCTAAATTATTTATTTATATCTTTAAAATGAAGAGCGAAGATAGATTCAAAGTGTGTGTATCTCTCTCTCTCTATATATATATAAATATATATATATGTTGTTCGGTGTTCGGTTCGATTTACGGTTTTTCCATTTAAAACCAAACCAAACCAAATCAAACCACCAATTTTAATAATATATGAAAGTTTTTGTGGGTTTCTTTAGTTCGGTTCGATTTTGTTCGGTTTTTATCGGTTTCGGTTCGGTTCGGTTCGGTTTAATACGGTTTGAAAGAAATAGTACCAAACTCAAACCAAATTGCATACAGTCCGGTTTCGGTTTAGTTTGGTTTGGTACGGTTCGGTTAAACCAAATCGTTATCCCACCCCTACTAATTATAGCAGATTACAGATGTGAGAAAAGAAGTTATTTTTAAATCTCGCACCTCAACAATTCAGGGGTTGTAGTATCCAAGACAAATTAAAAGAACCATATCCTGCTACCCAAATTTTAGATAATTGCACCAAAGTTGACAAAATAAAAATTTAGGATAAGATTTGTCATGGTAGGTGAGTTATTTTCATTTATATTACTTATTGTTATGGTAGACAATATCTTTTGGGACTAAGGCTTGGATGTTGTTGTATAGCAAATGTTTGTTGCACTTTCTATTACAAGTGGTGTATGATTTAGACACTTTCAAAGATATCACCATCAAAAGGCTAAAGGGTCAAATAGGCCCTTGAACTGACTTAAAGTGATCAATTAGCCCCTTATATAGGAGGTTCTGTCCGGCCGTCGCTAATTGGGGCGGTTCCTGGTAGAATTTTTTTAAGAAATTTTTTTAGCATCTTGTTCATTAAGTCTAGTTTACCCATACCAAATTTCAGCTAAAAATTCAACCGGGAAGGCAGTCAAATGATTTTCCGAAATGTACTGTGCTGTGTAACTTCGCAGTTATCTTCAAAAAATCATTTGACTGCCTTCCCGGTTGAATTTTTAGCTAAAATTTGGTATGAGTAAACTAGACTTAATGAAGAAAATGCTCAAAAAATTTCATCAAAAAATTCCACCGGGAACCGCCCCAATTGGCAACGGCCGGGCAAAACCTCCTATATAAGGGGCTAATTGAACACTTTAAATCAGTTCAAGGGCCTATTTGACCCTTTAGCCCCATCAAAATAATCATAGCCACCTTAACCATAACCAGATTGGGGTGGGTATGAATTTTTTAGTTTCAATTAAGTTTTTATAAATTGTTAACAATATAAATCAATCAGGATATGTTGGCATAAATAATTGAATCAAGCGGAGAAGGAAAAAGGCTTGGTGTCCAAGGACAGACTAGCACCTAAGGAGGAATTAATATGGACTAGGTGGAGATTTGCTCAATTATGCTATATATTCCACATATGTGTTCCTCAAAGTATTCCATCGCCTAAGGCGCAAGGCGCAAAAAAGCGATCGCCTGACTCATGTTAGACACATTTCAACAACATTACCCCAATGCCGCAAAGGCTCCACCTACGATTGAGTAAGGGGGTCGGATGTACGCAGTCTTACCTCTGTGCTAAAGCACAAAGAGACTTTTTCTGGGTGACCCATGATGAAAATCACATCGAAAAATGCATGAACTGATTGCTATTTCATAATAAAGAAGAGCTGACAGTTGAGTGAACCATTTTGCTTTATTCCATCATAATCTCAAGCCAAAAAACAATGAGTCTTTGGGTCCATTGAAAATGACGTAAAATCATGTCAGACACATTGCTTAGAAAATAGAGAAAAGAGGCAAATAAGCCCACGTACTAACCGAAAAAGGTCATATAAGCCCTTATATAGGAGGCTCTGACCAGCCGACGTCATTTTGGGCAGTTCCTGGTGGAATGTTTTGATGAAATTTTTTTAGCATCTTATTCATTAAATCTAGTTTACTCATACCAAATTTCAGCTAACAATTCAATCGGGAAGACATTAAAATGAATTCTTGAAGATAACTTCTTTTTTAACTGCACAGTTATCTTCAAGAATTCATTTGAATGCCTTTCCGATTGAATTTTTAGCTGAAATTTGGTATGAGTAAACTAGACTTAATGAATAAGATGCTCAAAAAATTTCATAAAAAAATTCAATCGAGAACTGCCCCAAATGGCGTCGGCCGGACAGAGCCTCTTATATAAGGGCTTATTTGATCTTTTTTGGTTAGTACGTGGGCTTATTTGCCCCCTTTCTCTATAAAATATAACACATACTATTATGTAATTATCATATTGAACCAACTACATTAAAAAGTTATGTTTCTAAAAAGTAAAATCACGATTTACCAAAATAAAGTCATGATTCACAAAAGCAAAACAACGGAATTCAGAATTCATTACTTGAAGTCTAAAACATTATAATGGAGAAATAAAACATAATTAGATTTTAGGTTTTTAGCCCAATTCCCCATTTTCTGTAGGACTATTCGTCATTAAAACTCGAGCTATTTCTTCTCCATTTTCTGATTTATATTCTCTTACATCCTTTTCAATGTCTCCATCACTTTTCTCAGCCACAAGCCTACAACTAGTACTTGCACTAGGAAATGTGGACTGCCTCATAGAATATCTTATCAGTTCGTGTGGTCCTGTTGCTCTACTCACAACACCCCATGTCAAGCCATTACCATCGTCATCACGGAAAGCTAAATCATTTGCAGCACTCTGATGATCTGTGTTTCCGATCAACCAGTCATTATATGAAGTGTACATGAATGAAAATATTAAATTATTAGAAGAAACAGAAGTATACATATATATAATATATATATATATATATATATATATATATATATATATATATGGGTGTGTGTGTCTGAGTTGTATAGAGCATATAACAAGAAGTACATGCTGAAAAAAATAAAGAAAATGGACTTGTAGTATACATAAAAATGCTTGAGTTGTAGAGACTATATAAAGAAGAAAAAAAAATGGTCTAATGAAGAGTGTATAGAGTTGTATGGAGTATATAAGAAGTAGATGCTGAAAAAAGAAAAAAAGAAAGAAAATGGAATGATGAAGGAGAAGAAAACTTTGTGTCATTGATCGTTGAGTGCTGCATTGCTGCAAGCTTCTGCGGTTGATCTTGAGTAGAGCAGAGTAGGTTTACGTTGTGTTGTTTAGTGTAGGTTTTTGTTGTTTTGACCTTATTTAGATGAGCTTTATTAAAATATGGGCTTCTATTTTAGCATGAAAATGACGATGTAAAATATGGGTCTAAAGCATTATTATTAGACTTAAAATAAACGTGAAGTAATAGTATTTAGCATCTGGTCTTCTGGAAGAGCGTATGTAAATCTTCTCATTATTACATTTATATATTATTTCATTGTAGAGGATGAAGACCGTATGTAAATCTGATCATTATTACATTTGTATATTATTTCATTGTAGAGGATGAAGAGAAGAGAAGATTAGCTGAAGAAGATGTCAATAATGGCGGAGACTAAATTGAAGCCACCCTTGTTGGCAGATTTTTTTTCAATGAAAGCCATTACCCTTTGCTTTTATTGTTTTTCTGAAGGTATATTTTGAGAAAGTTTTGCTCGTTTCTTTTTCTTTTTCATTAAGAGTTACTTATGATGTTTATGTCAGATGTGCTACTGAAACCTATCATAGTACTCAAGTATAGTTTTGTTGGTCTTGTTCGTTCTGAATCCAATTGTGTGTCCTTGCTTGTAATCTTGCAAGTCGGTCCATCATGAAATGACGCACTCATAGATAGTCTACACCGAATGATTCTTCTCGTTTGTTTCTTTTTATTTATGTTCCACTCATTTTTTGCATAAGACGCATGATATGTTCCTTAATGTACGTGATGCAATTGGGTAGGATCACGTGCACTAGTCCATCTAACCTGAAATATGTCATATGCTCTTTGTACATCTTTTGATATTTGCAATAAGTCGCTTGCTTGGCAGCAAAAATTCTCTTCTTAGGGGCGTATGGATTTCTAATGGATTCTTTTCTGGGTTGGTACATAAGGTACATTTTATCATTTACCATAAAATTGATAAGGTGTGCATCTTTTCACAATTACATCAAATACAAGGGGCTTCCGAGTCACGTGATTATAAATAGGAGTGTGTCATATCTAAGTAGGGGTGGGCCTGACATCCATTTCCAGTTTTGGTCTTGACCCAGTAAAGTTTTTAATTTTTTAAGCCTTGGAACTGGGCAAAAAATGAAAAAGAATTACAGGCACCAGGTCTGGACTAGTTGGGTACTTGGGTAATTGGAGCCGGCCCAACCCATATCTATGAATCATATGGACCTACCTCAAGCACAATGGTTGGGTTTTGTTCTTAACTAATTGTTAAGAAGTAGGGGTGGACTCGGGTCAGGCCGCCTGGCCCAGTACTGTTTGAGCCCCGCCTGGCCTGGTACTGTTTGGGCCCAAGCCCTAACCGGAATCGGCCCAGCCCGGATCCATCTCTATTAAGAAGTATAATGGTTTTTCCACTCTTGGATGCCTTTTATCAGTTTTATGTGTATCAATCAAATAATGAAGATTAGTAGAGTTTAATGTTCTTAGGCATGAACAAGATAATGTTAGGTCGTGTTCGGCGCAGCCAATAAGCTAAAAAAAGGATAGATTTCAATTTTAATTGAAGTAGTCATGTTTGTTTGAAGGGTTAAAATGTTAAATAGGGCTTGAACTAGAAAAAATGGGCTGAAATGAAATGTTGAGGCACCTAGTGTTTAGAATCAGTTAGCTGTTTTCAGACTTCACATTCCCACGCTATCCCTAATCCACTCGCGATTCAATCTTTCTATTTTTTCTCTTGTCTATCGCCAAGGCTCTCCAAGTATGGATTTTTTTAGTTCTACTTCAACACCCATTCTTTGCTTGTACAAGTCTTATTTCTTCTTCAATCACCAAGCTATCAACTCCTATTTCTCATACTCCATTTGCCCACTGCACAGATAAATAACAATCGGAGAACCATGTTTAATAGCTTCATAAATTTTATATGGATGTGAGATGTGATTATGTGAATCACCATTTTTTGCTGCAAATTAATTAGAAATTTAGAACAGTCAATTAAGAAATAATTATTGAAAAATAGCTAGACAAGGTGAGCATATGTAGAGTTTATGTGGCCTTCCACTGCTCTACAATTTGGTTGATATATACATATGTACGCGTATATAGGTAGGCTAGAAATCAAAGGAGATAGTAGGCGTGGTTCACTGGTCCTGGTCCTGGTCTTGCGGTCCGGCCTGGTCCGGGTTCAGTACAGTGTGGTATCGGAGGAGTTTGTAATTGCGGCCCTAGTTCATGACCGGATACCCGATCGGGTAACTGACGGGCCCGGTCTTGAGCTCCAATATTTGAGACGACCGGGCGGTTCGTATTCCACTTTTGGTCCAAGACTGGCCAATTTTTTTAGCTTGAAATCGGTTTAATAAATAGATCTATATCCGGGACCGAGATCCGACTGCCCATGTACTTGGAAATCTGGAACTAGCCCGGACCCTGAATATAGCGGTTCAGGCCTGCTCTACTTGATTTTTTTATAGGAACAGCCGAACAGGCGATCTCGGTTTGGAATCAGGATCAAATCGACCTAGGTCCACCCCTAGAAATAGTACTAGGAATATCATATGATTTCTTTTCAAAGCCGAGAAAAAAAGAGGACCTTCCTTGATTTGTCTAGTTTATTTGTTCTGATTTTAGTTTTATAGAATTGAAAATATGGTCACATTTGAGTTGACGACAATGTTTTTTGTGTGTGGAAGAAATAGGCTTAAATTGATAATACATCATTTAGATAGTAGGTAATCCGACAAAAAGAATCCTGACAACCGCCGCCCCTCGAACCAGACTCGGAGTTAATCACCTCGATCAACTGAAGCAATATAACACGTTGATCCCTTAACGGGCACAACTAAGCCAAAGACGTTTACCTCATTCCTTTCATCACCCACATCCAAATCCACAGTCTTACAACATAGTAAAATAAATAAGCGAAAAACACAACAGGAAACATTGTCTCGAAAAAAAAAGTGTAGAAATTCTGCCCCAGCAACCCGAACAGCAACACCTCCCATGTCCCGCGCCTCGAACCTGACTGAATCAATTTACGCGAGCATATAGATCGAAGCCCCCCCCCCCCCTCCCCATTTTTTGCACTGTCTTACGCCATATTGTCCCCACTCGCTTGCTGCCTTCCTGGGATTCCCAAATGCGTCTTCTTTTCTGTTCTCCCGATGCCTCCTCATTTTTCTCACCCTCCACTCCCTTAGTAGTGCTCTGCGCTGAACCTGATATGGATTCCTTCCCGCCTCCTCCCATCCTAACATCTGAATTGTTGCCGTCCACCAGCCATTTATTTCCTCCTATAGAACTTGTCATCATCCCACTACCTGCTCTAAATGATTAATTTTATATTATACGTAGTATATAAATACTTCCTCCGTTCTCTTTTAATCGCAACATTGGACTTTTTGCACTATTCACATGTTCTACTTTGACTATATTTTATTTATTAATGTATGATAAATTATTTTTTTAAAAAATATTGTTCAATTCATCTCATTATAAATTTTCAAAATCTTATTTTTTTTAATTTTTTACTAATAAGGAATGAAAGATATTAATGGTCAAACTTGTGCGTTGACAAACGTGAAAAGTGGACCGTTGCAATTAAAAAAGAACGGAGGTAGTGTATAATATAAAATTTTAATATTTATTAAAATATGAAAATCATTTTTAATAATATGTTTTTGTTTTATTAATCAACCTTATGCCCTTTAATGTAGTTTCATGTTATCCGCGCACTTTTCCAACTCTTTTTGCCAAATGGGTCTATTTCATTTAGTTAGCAATTCCGATACAACACTTTCAAATTCAGCTCCAGACAATTGTCTCTTGATCAGGCTAGCCCCGATCACATAGCTTAGATCTCGTCTTCTGATCACAGTTTCCTTTTCTTCATCGTGTGGTAGTGTTCCATCATCTTTGTACCTCATTAAATCATCAATCCATCACCTTGGTGCGCACGCCTGATAGGCAATACCTTTTGCCTTTTCGTTATCTCTACGATCGGCTTACCCAGTTCTTGTATTATGACAATGCGAGTGAGGTGTTTGGGTGCATCCTGTGTTAATTTTGACATGATCTCTGCTTCCCCATTTTGGGCTCGTGGAACACATACCAGATCAAATTGCTCAAAGTTCTTAATGAGCTCCAGAGATGTATCCATGTACTTCTGCATTCGTTCTTCTTTGGCTTCATATTCTCCCCTAACATGTTTGATTACCAACATGAAATTGCTTTTAACCAATAATTTGTGGACTTTGAAATAATTGACTATCAAGAGGTCGGAAAGTAGGGCCTCAAATTCTGCATCATTGTTTGATAAAGGGAATAAGTACCTGAGGGCGTAGTATGTTTTGAAACCCTATGGGGTGATGAGGACCACCCCTCCCCCGCAACATTTGGAACCTGATGATGAGCCATCGAGGGTCCACCGATCTTCTTCGTCACATCGTCTTTCTTCAACTATGTCTTGCGTTGTGCACTCTACAACAAAATCTGTCAGAGCTTGGCCTTTGATCGTTGTTCTCGGCTGGAAAGTTACTTGATATTGACTGATTAACATGGACCATTTTACTACTCGTGCTGTCTTGGCCGTCATGAATAGAGTTCCCATCCCCACGTCTGACAAGACCTTAATTGGGTGAGTCTGGAAGTAACGGGCAAGTTTTTTTTTGGTTGCCACGTAAACTGCAAAGCTATTTTCTCCAAGGCGGGGTACCTAAGCTCGGCCCCATGTAGAACCATGTTGGTATAATACATGTGTTTTGCACACCTCCTTCCACACGCTCTAGGACGGAGCTGACAACGCTTTGGGACACTCACATGTATAAAATGAGCGTCTCCTCGGCTTCAGGCTTGCTAAGCAGGAGCTCTGACTGTAAGTATTTCTTGAGGTCTTCGAAGACAATTTGACATCCTTTGAACCACTCGAATCCATTGCTTTTTTCAAGACCTGAAAAAATGGTAGTGACTTTTCAGCCGATCTGGACAGAAATCTCCCCAGGGATGTCCATCTCCTTGTGAGGATTTGGACTTCCTTAACGTTTCGGGAGGCTTGATCTTCAAAATTGTTTTGACCTTCTCGGGGTTAGGCCTATATTCCCCTATTAGTTACCATGAATCAAAAGAACTTGCCGCCCTGTACGGCAAAGGTTCATTTCTTGGATTAAGCCTTAGGTTGACCTTCTTCATGATCCCAAATACTTCTCTGAGTTCATTTACATGATCTCTTGCCTTCTGGCTTTTGACAATCATATCATCTATGTAGGCCTCCATATTCCGTCCTAGGACAGTTCTGAAGACCTTGGCGACCATCCGGGTGTAGGTTGCCCCTGAATTCCTCATCACAAAGGCCATTACCAGATAACAGAACACATCTTCTGGAGTTATGAAGGAGGTTTTCTCCGCGTCATCATCATGCATGGAGATTTGGTGATATCCTCTGAAGGCATCCATGAATGAGAGCAACTCACATCCAGCGGTCTGATCCACCAGCTGATCTATGCTTGGCAAAGGGAAAGAATTAGGGATGACAACAGGGCGGATCGGGGATGATTTTGCATATAACCGTAATTATTACTTTAATTCTTAGGCTTTTTCTCCCCTTTCTCCTACTCCTTCTTCTTCTTTAGACCTCCCTTTGCTTGAGTATGTTCTTAGCTATGGAGGAAATGTTTTGCAGAGGTTCTCTAGTCTCCCTTGTGATTCTTGGACGAAATTGATAGGGGGGTAGGGGTGAGGAGACCTCCTTTTTG